AAGAGTTTTGTGCTTATCATCCAAGTAATAAAGAAGCGATACAAGCTTATTAATAAATGCTATACCAAGTATATTTTGCATTCCATATTTCCAACCAAGATTTTTACTATGTAAAAGTTTTAAAATATCATTATATAATTGATCATTACGATTTGTTGATGGTTTTGGGTTAGGCAAAATTTTTTTAGCTGCCGCATTCATCATTTCATTAAAAATATTAGATGCAGAAGAACTTTGATTTGTAGTAGATATTGAATGTTCATTTTGAAATGTAAATTTAATGTGGGATATATTTTGCTCTTCATGTGCACACATTCTCAAATATCTATTTAAACCAGATGCTACCATATGCCATTTGTTTGTACCTCGAACTTGAATATCAACTTTAACAACATCTCCAAAAACATAGTCACTATCTGCCTGATAAGTAGATCTTTAAAGGTCAAGTTTTCATCGACTTTAAATAATACAGCAGAAAGAATTGTTTTACCATCTTTTATTACGGATACAAAAGGAAAAATTATTCTTGCAATATAAAGTTCGATGAGTTAGGAAAATTATTTATATATCCGATCAGATTTGGTATATCCATAATAAGTACAATTTAAGATTTTAACTAAATATTCAGCCAAAATTAATATTTATATTTTTGGCCATGAATAAGTATTTTTAGTATGTATCATTATGCAGTATTTATCGTTATCATTATTGTAGTATTTAATTCAAGCAACATTTTTAGTGGCTGCTCTAATTGTTTAATTTAAGGAGCAGTTTAAGACGGAGGGTGGCTAATGTTAAACGAAAGTTTAAATTCAAACGGCCTAAGCTTTAGTACTGGTTGGTACTTTTCGAAAGGCTTTTCTTCTTATATTAACTTTAGCTTACTTCTACGCCTTACTATGATAACTAAGCTACAAACAAATAAAATCTATAAAAATAAACAAAGATAACGAATATAATAAATAATTATACAGATCTAAAATTTTTAAGCCTTCGCCACTACACAGCCCTAATATACACATTCTCGTTACTACTAGTCACAATTTTTCAAAAAAAAAGCGTGACATACCCCCTTGTTAGGCACAACCCCTTCAAGTACCTAAGTGGAACTGGATAGTAGTTCCATTTCTTCGTCATGTCTTTTTTTTTGCTTCTTCTAATAATGATTCAAAATTTTCTTTGGTCATTTCTAATATCGTATAAGCAGAAATATAATCAGATATTAATAAACTATGAATACCACAAATTTGATAAGAGCATAAGCCTAATGAGCAATTCTTAAGGCCTTTTTATATCTGCTAGAAGTAAACTAATCTTTCATCTCTTGCCTAGCATACATATTCCAATTATATACAGCCATCCTTTCTTCTAACTGATAGTAATATTGAAGTAATGTGACCCTATCTAACTGACAAAGTTGGAGACGTATGCAAAGGTAATCTATCTGTTGGTCCCAATTCTCTTCTTTAATAGGATCAAGCATTACATGCAAATCACCCTTTTTATAAAGGTCTTTGACATAAAGAAGCATACGGTCTGCTTCAGATAGTTCTCCCTTAGTTTGGGTGCAAAATCAACCGAAACTTGATCCCTTTGGTTATCAAGAAATTCAATAGTGGTACTAGTGATTCGTAAAGTATCTACTGACGATCCTTTAAAGTAATCTTAGACTTGAAGTAGAAGTTTTAATAGTGATGCCATGACTAAGAAGGATTCCATAATTGCTTAAAGAGAAAAGTCAATTCGAAGGATATTTATAAGTTTGTGAACTCTCTTTTACTGAGGCTTCAATGTATCGTTTTAACTGGTTTTTGTGCACTGCCTTCTTAAAAACTTTTTCTCATTGATTAGACTTATCGTTTGTTATGTCACTTATCGTTCTTAATTTATACGAACCATTGGCACAAACATCGTGAATGTAATACAGACCAGTAAACTTAGATTTGAATTTTGCACTATATGATGTCAACAGAGAGGATTGTTTCAATAACACTTTATCACCAATCAAATAACTCTCTATTCAATGGCTTTGATCATGGTGTACTTTTTGTTTATCTTGAGCCTTTTCAATATTAACTTTAGACAGATTATACGATTCAGTCAACTTTTCTATCAAGCTTTCTATTCATCGTAACAATTGATCCTGTAATTCCTCCTCAGTGATTAGTTCATTTGGATAAGTCGAAATTACAGTTTTTATAGTTAACAAGCCATCCTGACCATATATAAAGAAAAAGGGCTCATACCGGATAACAGAATATTTGTTTGTTTGATAGGCAAAAAGTGCTACAGAGACGTAATTATCCTAGTCATCTGAATACTGTCCAATGCACTTAGCTAAAACTTTACACAATGTTCGATTAAAGTGTTCAACTAACCCATTCATTTGAGGGTGATAAGCTGTTGATTTGGAACGTCAAATATTTATTCTATAATACAATGTGTCTATGATTTTATTACAAAAATGGGTCTCTTGATCTGAAAGTAATTCATATGGGCTCCCGTGATGACAAATAATATCCTCGAAAAAAAAAGTGGCCACTGATTTAGCATCAGCTCGTTCAATCTCACAGGCTTCTGGCCATTGGGTCAAATACTCTGTTGTTACAACTATGTATCAATACCCTTTCATAGTAACTAGAAGTGGTCCAACGATATCTATACCTATTTGATCAAAAGGTTGACCTATACGAATAAAGTGAAGAGGCTCTCTAGTAGTAGGCTTTTCTCTTCTTTGGCATGAGTCACATAATGAAATATAATATCGAATATCATTTCTCATCTGTGGCCAAAAATATCAAATAATAATTCGTTGATATGTTGCTTCCTTATTGAAATGCCCAGCTAATGGATCTGAATACATCATATACAAGATAGGTTCAACCTCTTATAGCTTCAATATTCATAATAGTCTGAGAGAGTTTCGGGGTTCTTCTTGTATAATAGTCCTTCTTAAACAAGATAATGATGTGTTTTAAGCTTTAACGTTCTAATCTGGGTATTTGTATAACTAGAAGATACCATAGACTCGCTAATGTACCTTAAAAATAAATAATATGTATCTAAATCCATAAAGTCTCCATTAATCAAAATTTGGGTAATTCAAAATTGACGTTGTAAAATTTAAAGTGAAGATAATTTTTAGAAAAATCGATTATCCTATATCCATGAAAGACTATCAGCATTAAAATAGATTTTTCTGGATCTATAGATGGTTGTAAACATATACTTCTACAAGATCAGGATCTACTTAGCCAGTCAGTTCTGAGATAATCGATGAGAAAATAGCAATTTTAGTGCAGAATGATTAGTATAAAGGGTAAAAAGAATTCTGTGGAGATAAGGTCTAAAGTATGAAATAGCCCAGATGATGGCAAAACATTTTTTTTCCATCACAGAATAGTTCTTTTCAGCTGGAGTTAACGAATGGCTTGCATAAGTGACAACTCTTTCTTTTCCATCTTTGTCTAATTGAGAAAGAATAGCACCTAACACTAAGTCTGATACATCAGTAAAGAGAATAAAAAGTTTTGAGAAATTCAGATATGCTAAAACTGAAGCTGTGATAAGTTTTTTTTTAGTATTTCAAAAGCTTCTTGATGTCTTGAAGTCTAATGATATCCAATATTCTTTCATAGTAACAAATTTAATGGAGTAGCAATTATTGTAAATTCAGAAATAAATCATCGATAATAAGATACCAATTTCAAAAATCTACGCAACTATCTCAAGTTTTGGAGAATAGAATAGACTTAAACAGCTCGAATTTTTTCTAGATTGGTCGATATCCCTTGCGCACTTACAATATACTCTAAAAACTTTAATTCTTTATGGGCGAAATAATATTTCTGAGACTTAATTTTTAAACTCGCTAGTCTCAGATATAGGAACACTTCCCTCAAGTGGTCCAAATATTCTTCAAATAATCTGAAAAAGATATTAAGATCATCAAGATAGACAACAACAAATCTCCCATTTATATCATTAAAGATTTGATCCATCAATCTCTGGAATATAGCCAGGGTATTTATAAATCCAAACAGTATAACATTAAACTCGTAAAGTCTATATGGTGAAATGAACGCAGTCTTTTCTTTATTATTTTCGAACATTTCAATCTGCCAATACCTACTGGCTAAGTTTAACGTTGTAAACCAAGATGACCCATTTAATGCATCTAAAAGCTCATCAACCTGAGGTAATAAATAATTATCTCAAATGGTTATAGTGTTTAGTTTTCTATAGTTAATACAAAATCACATTCTTTGGGCTTTCTGCTTTACCAATACAATGGGAGATGCTCACAGGCTCGTAGATGGTCGGATAATTTGTTCATTCAGCATGACATCAATTTTTTCTTTTAAAAATTTCTTTTCTGCAGGAGAATAATGATATAAATGCTGTCGTATTAGCCAGATATCTTGTGTTGAGATATGGTGATGAATTATATCAGTCTGTCCTAATTCAAAAATATACTTGGTATAGCATTTATTAATAAGCTTGTATCGCTTCTTTATTACTTGGATGATAAGCACAAAACTCTT